CCTGGGCCTCGGGAATGGCTTCCGGGAGGTCGGTGTAGATCGACCAACAGACCATGACGTAGAAGATGTGGCGGGCGACGAGCCAGGAGACGACGAAAGCGCCGAACATGAAGTCGCAGAGAGTGTTGAGTCCGACGTACTTCAGGCACTTGGCAAGCTGCGCATGGTCAGCACACTGGTGTTAATTGGGAGAGGATAAGACATACAGGGAAAAAGAGATCAACAACGTCCATCAGGACCAGGATCAAGTTACCAACTCGGGTCATGTGGTAGCCGTAGCAGGCGGAGATCAGAGAGCAGGTGATGATGTGGTGGGTGAACATCTGCCAGTGATCCTTGCGGCGCTCCTCAATGTTGATGACGATGATCTGCTGCAGCCAGAAAGACCACTGCGCCAGGATGTAGAACTTGTTCAGGCCGGTCAGCTCACGCTGGGGCCAGTTCGTCCAGAGCTCCTTCAGGTTCAGCCAGTAAGGCGACGTCTTGTAGATGTACTATAGAATGTCAGCTTGCGTTGCACAACCATGCCATTGGGACCACTAACCATGCCCAGAGGCCAGAAAACCAGGTAGTAGATCAACAGCCAGGCCTGCTCGCTGAAGCGCGTCAGGTCCTTGCGCTTCGAGACGCCCCAACCCTTGGCCAAGGGAGCCAGCACGTATTCCATGGTCGCGGCGCGCAGGCCAGTGAAAAGGATGATGCAGAAGGTGAGGAGGCAGGCATCGCCGAGGCCGGCGCCATACAGGCCCGTCTCGGGGTTCTTGTAGGAGAGGGTGAAGAACTTGATCGTGTGGGCTTGCGCCTTGGGGATGCAGAAGTGGGCGAGGAAGAGGAGGGCGAGAAGGTTGAAGGAGAGACCTGAAAGCAGCAACCGTTAGCATAGTCTGCGACCTCACACATGGAGACAATGTCTCGAATCAATCGTCTGCCGTGGAACATAGGGCTGCTCCGGCAGTGGCTTGGAATCGGGCGCGTGTGTGGGGTAATTGGGAGCAAAGGAGGCGGACGAAGAAGCAGACATACCGACTTGGTTCTCGACCATCCACCTGCTCAGCATCTTCCAGGCGCTGTCATCTTTCCTCCTGACCCTTCGTACGAGAACGACGTTTACGTTGTTGTGGCCCTGCTGGTAAAGGGGGCCGTTCATGAGCTTGAGCTGCTTGGTGCTGGCGTTGCGCTTGATCTTGGAGCTGTGCTTGTCGAAGACGGGGGAGACGGGAGAGATTGGGGAGACTGGCGATGCCGCCTCATAACCGGCGGTGTCGGCCATGTTGGGTTGTGACTGAGCCCCAATTGGAACTCAATGGGGTGATTTGGGGAGGCGACGGCTCGGATTGAGGTCGCGGGGAAGACCGTGATGGTCGGTGAGCGGAGGACGAGAGGCGTTGTCCCTTTTTCCGTGGTATCAAGGCCGGGTTGGTTGACGGCGGTGGGTTGATAGCGACGCGGGCGGTCGTGGAAGGGATTCCCTGCAGGCGCGAGTTTGGTTGGTGGTGCAGAGCAGAGCGCTTCTCGGTCGAAGGGGGCGCTTTCTGCTTCGTGGACTCGGGAGGGGAGGGAGAGGGGAGGAAACGAACGACCGGGTCGGTTTTAGGGAGGTTGAAGATCGAGAAGATGGGATTGTAAGGGCAGCGTCGCACACAATGGAGACGCAGACCGAACCTAGGAGACGGTGGCAGGACCTGGAACTCTGGACAGGAGGACACAGGTACTGGGCCAGGATGGACCGGGATGTGCTCTGTTGCTCCAGAAAGCTGCCGGGATAGGGCGTGCAGCAGAAGTGCTCCGTGTAAGGTGTGCTTTTCTCGTTCAGCGCTCAGTGGTGGTAGTGGTGGTGGTGGTGCTGCTGCTGCGTCCTGCCGGTCACTGGAGACTCGTTGGAGAGCGAAAGAGACACAGAGTGAAAGATGAGAGACGCGAGGTGAGGTGGGTTGGGTGTTGGGTGGGGGGAACAAGAAGTCGAGGATACTTTTTGCGAGCAATTTCTTGCTACCGCGTGTGGGTGTTTAGCTCGAAATCTGGCGAACTGCTAAGTACAAGGTACGCGGATTTGGAAGGGTGCAACACCATCCACGACGGCAGCGCTGAAGTTTGAACCACTCGCCTCGCAATTCTCCACTCCACAATTGAACCTTGCACCGCGCCGTAGCCTTCCACCCTTCCACTTCCACGCCTTCCAGGCCCAGCGAGTGGTGTCCAGTCCCATCCATGTCCACAGCCCCCGGGGAGGGAAGCAGCCGGGCCCTCCAGTCGACCGCCGCCCGCGAGAGGGTGGCCACTGACCGTCAACCAATTCGACTTCCCCCCTGGCCAACTGCCATTGGGACAGGACAGGGGGGAAGACTGGGTTGGTCTAGCTCACACACAGATCGCCCGTTCTTTACGGCGGCAGCGAGGGTTCATCAAAGGCGGTGAGCAACGCAGCCAAGCAAAACGGTAGCAGAGGGAGCAACAAGACGGCGGGCGGCGGGAAGGGGAAAAAAGATGGAAGGGCAGCACAAGGGATGTGGGCAACCTGCGACCTTTCCTTTGCAGAAGAGGGAAAGTGAAAGGGCCCCAGGTGCTCAGGGCAGGTACGGATACCAAAGGGGCCAACCGTGACACAGGGGTCCTCCTCTTCGTCTTTTGCACAGGCTTCCGCCATTCAATGGACGAAATCAAGGTACGAAACGGGTACGTACTCGCTCGCTCTCTCTATTCGAGGGACGCTGGAGGGAATGGTGGGGGACCCCTATCCCGCCGCCGCCTTGTCTTGTCCAGTGTGTGCCGGGAGTGTGTGTGCCCATTGCTTGCACCTGCAGCCGTAGCCGTGGAATTGGACGGAGCTTAAAATTGAGACTACCACTGGCCCTGTCCACAATCCGCCGCCAGTGTCATTTGTGCAAAGCACCACGTTTTCCTCCGTGACCTTCGTCCATGTCGGAATCCATTACCGTCGTTGTCTGGTCCTTTGGCTCCCAAAAGTCGCCAATGGTTGAAGTCTATTTAGACGAAAAACTGGGCTTACGGCAGATGGACGGGGGTGCAGAGAAGCAACATGGTAAAGACACAACAGCAATATCCAAAACCAAGGGCCAAGGACGGGACAGAACGCTAGACATGCTACGGGGAGGGGCCGCTGCTGCTGAACGTGGAGAGAGAAACCGAAGCACTCGCAAGAACTCAAGGAGTGTTCGTAGCGTGTCCGTACCTCACGGATACAGACAGGGAAAATAAAAGGAGGGGAAAAAAACAAGCAGTGGCGGGTCGCCCTTTTCCTCAACAAGTTTCGACCTTGGCGAGCCATTGATCCCAATTGGATTGTCATTGAATCTCGTTTACGACCATCACTTCTTCCCTGTCGATGCGACGGAATACAACAAGTTGGCGGCTATTGGGAAAAAAAGACGTCGGGCTTCCGCGGGGGGACGGACGCCAATTCGCCAGTGCGACGAGAAACGGTGGTAGGGGACAATCTTCATCTTCGTTGCCCGTTCACTTTAAAATGAAGTGATTTTCCTCCACCCCAGCGCCTTATCAACTTATCGCCGTTTGGCATATACCAGCCCCCTGTCAATCACTTTCTTCTCTCTTTGATTTTTCTTTTTTGGTGTCCGTGTTGCTCCAGCTCTTCCCGTGCCACCCCTTTTTTTCAGTCTCCTTATTTCCTAGAAATCCCATCTGTGCAACCAAACAATGCGCCGATAAACAATGTTTGGTCAACCCGTCCCGTCCACCGACTCCGGCAGGCACGTCCACCACCGCCGCGAGGGCCAGCCAGCGACTTTTCACGCTCTGGAGATGATGCACAGTCGGGTCGAGTGCTGTCACTCTCAGGTACACAACCCCTTCAGCCGCCGCGCCCACACACCACACACGCCCCCTCCAACCAATCGTCACTCTCCCAAACTCGCCTCTGCCGTCAGAACACTAAATCGCCAGCGCAAGATTCGAGAGAGCCGCAAGATGTCACTCCCCCAAGCCCCAAGGCTCTTCCTATCCCAATCCTTCCGTGCTAAGGTAGAAAACCTTCTTTTGCGTCCATGATGACACCCCCGAAAGGGCTCGTCATCATCAATTATTGAGCCGCGACATGTCTATGGTCTGCACCACCAACCCAAAAATGTGATGATGAGGCTGCACTTACGTATCCGTACAATAAACCAGACGAATACGGACGGACCTCGCATCACAGACAGCCCCCCCTAAACGAAAAGGATTAGCCCTCTTCCTCACATGAAATGTTCCATGCACGGAAGGTCAGCCAGACCATTACACTGACATATCGGATGCCGCGTTTCATCCCATCTCTCTCTCTCGCTGAAGAACAACAGCTGCCTGTTGTCGCAAAAATGGAACTGGCGGTCGCGATTGCATCAAGAAGTGAGGGGCAGCAGCAGAATAGTGCAGCCAGCTTGCCTGCTTGCTTGCTGCTGCAACTGCTACCCAACATGGCAACATCAGACCACGCGTTTGCCAAGCCTGTCCGCCCAAATTGAATCATTCAGAGAACGAAAGAAGCGTGCCCCTGCCTCGCGGCCGTTTTTAGCGTTCGCGCTTGCTGTCAAGGGGGCGCGTTCAGGAACGAACGAGACGACAAGGTGGCAGGGAGTTCAAGCTGCATATTCTGCATATAGTGATATACGTTCTAGTTGACTATGTACTCTGTCATAGCGGGGCCTTGCACAAACCAAAACAGAACCTTGAAGATTCTCCCCGTGCATTCCGACGCCACAAGCTCCCCATCACATGACCCCACCTCCGACTCCGCCACACTCTACCCCAGGCTCCAGGCTGCAGCCACTAGCCACAATCTCATAATCGCCGGTCGCATCACCACTGCACCCTCCCCACATGATCCTGACGACAACGACCTTCCATTACACCCGTCGCCTCCAGCTAACCTTTCCTTTCAACCTCCACCTCCTCGTCGCACCGCAAACTCTCGCAACGACATCGCCAAACCCCTTTTGATATCCTCACAGTAGCGCGAACACGAAAGAGAGAGAGCAACCGCCAAAATGTCCAACGCAAAGTACACTCCCGCGCCGACGAGCGACCCGGACGAGAGCACAAGCTACGCCCAGCCGCCCCCCGCCTACCAGGCCGAAGCCTCCGCGGCCGCCGACACCGATCGCCTCTTCGGCGGCGGCGCCCCGCGCAGCAGCCAGGACGATGACATCCCCGACGACTTCAAGGTAAGCCTCCCTTCCTCGCCTGCGTCGCACCGCGCCATCGCAACATGCAAGGACTAACACGCATCGACAGTTTGGCGGCTCCGTGGCCGAAGCGACAACCGACATCCGCAACCAGTTCATCCGCAAGGTCTACGCGATTCTCACCGTCCAGCTCATCGCCACCGGCATCGTCTCCGCCCTCAGCTTCTGGAGCCAGAGCTACAAGACATGGATCCAGTCCCACCCAGGCCTCGTCTGGGCATCCGTACGTTCTCACGTCCACCGTTTCCAACCCCCACGTTCGCAACAGCTAACATGCTTACCCCCCAACACAGCTCCTCGGCTCCATAGTCTTCATGCTCCTCACCTACTGGAAGCGCAAGTCCTACCCGACAAACCTCCTCTTCCTCGGCCTCTTCACCCTCACCGAGGCCTACACCATCTCCGTCATCGTCTCCTTCTACAAGATCGAAATCGTCCTCAACGCAGTCGTCCTGACCGCCGGCATCTTCGTCTTCCTCACCCTCTTCGCCTGCCAGACAAAGTACGACTTCACCTCCTGGATGCCCTACCTCTTCGGCGCCCTCTGGGGCCTCGTCCTCTTCGGCTTCATGGCCGCCTTCTTCCCCTACAGCTCCACTGGCGAGCTCGTCTACGGCGGCCTCGCCGCCCTCATCTTCAGCGCCTACATCCTCGTCGACACACAGCTCGTCATGCGCAAGCACCACGTCGAGGAGGAGATCGCCGCCGCCATCAGCCTGTACCTTGACATTATCAACCTGTTCCTGGCTATTCTGAGGATCCTTAACAGCCAGCAGAACAACTAAGCTGGACTGCGTGGTCAACTGGCGGAGGATGAATAGGGAGATTGGAATTACAAGCCGACAAAATGGGTTTAATAGAATGGTGCTTTTGCGTTCTCACATTGACAGTGTATGGATAGGTTTCTTTTGCGTGTTCGGGACTTTGAGTGTTTGCTGCTTTTCGTAATACCATATCAGGTAGTAACACACAAGATTGGCTCCACATCACAAGACACGCGCACCTAGGTGACACATTTGGTTGATGAAGCGGTAAAGTAATTTGATATCTGCATTAGAAGTCCACTAATAGAAAAGGAAAATGAGGGCGTTAGTAAAAGGGCTACAAAGGCACAGCCGGAAAGATGCGGCGGGGCGGTATAATCGGGATAAGAGTAGCAGATCGACGGGTAACAATAATCCAGACGTCCTACACATTCATCCCGCCTGCGACCTCGCCCGAAAGATCTGCTCCGCCCCGAGACTATACACCGCCTCCGTCCACAGCCTCTACCAAACCGGTAGCCTCTTCCCAGTCGTCGCATTCGTAGTAGACCTTTTTGGGGTTTTATCTTCGTGTCAGAGAAACGAACTCGCAGGGTAGGGGAATATTGTTCTTTCTCTTTCAACACAGCACGGAAACCAACGCCAGTATAGAAAAAGACCAACGTCGCAGTTTCGGGGTAACCATAAGCAGGGCCAAGGGTGAATTAGTTGGCTTCGTTGTCGCCATTGGCTTCGGCCGGGCCGCCCGCTGCTGCCGATGCTTCTCTCTGCATGCGAGCCTCGATCTCGCGGAGCTGCGACTCGCGAGCCAGGAGCTCCTGTCGCTTCTCGTTGATCTCGCGCTGGACCTTGATCTCGATCTCGCGAAGCTTCTCCTCCTCGCGCCTCAGTTGTTCCTCCTTGAGACGCACGGATTGCGATGCGAGGTCCTCCGGGTTCATGGACGAGTCACTGTGACATGTCAGTGCGTGATGCAGGGAAAGGGGCTCAGTCAAGACGTACACTCCAGCACCGCCCTCAACAGACTTGCTGAGCTTCTCGGTACGGTAGTTTTCGTAGAGGAAGTCGTGGGTGATCTCCTTCAGGTCGGCCAAGTGGCTGTGGAGGAGCGCAGAGCGGATGGCGAGGAAGTCGGAGTGGCGCGGGTTGTCGACCTCGACAACACCCCAGGGGTACTGACGGGCGCGGACCTTACGCCCACCAATCTCGACAACCTCCTCAGAGCCGACGATGGCGAACGGCATCAGGCCTCTCAGCTCGGCGTTCTCCTCAACCGTGTCCTCGTCATCCTCTTCAATGTCGTAGGGGAAGTTGTAGACGGGGATACGGTAGTGCTCGATGTCCTCCATAACAAGCTTCTTTGACTCGGCCAGCTCAGCAGGAGTCAGGGAGTCGGCACGGCCAATGACGGGGATAACGTTAACACGGGGGGCGAGGCGCTTCATCAGCTCGATATCAAGCTCACGGAGACTAGACACGTTAGCATCGGCGAATGGGAGATGAGGCTCGTTGGACCTACCCGTGACCGGTGGGGGTGATGAAGTAGAGCATGGCGTGCACACGGTTGTCCCTGAATCGCGGGTTACGCTTGATGCGGGATTCCTCGGCCAGAATATCATCGTATTGTCTCTCAAGGTAGCCGACAATCTCGGAGAAGCTACGACAGATTAGCAAGAGATGCAGCGGTGTGTTGGCTAAGCGGCGTACCTGGCCTCGTTGTCAATCTGGTCACCAAAACCGGGGGTATCGACAATCGTCAGGGAGATGCGAGTGCCCTCCTCGTCCAGCTCCAACTCTGTGTAGGTGTTAGTTTGGCGGTGGCTGGATGGCCTGACGCGGGTTACACGTACCGACGGTGATGGGCTTGATCTTGACACCGTCCTCGACAGACGCGCTGTTGGGGTCGTCCGACTCCTTGTGGCCCAACACACTCTTGCCGCAGAGAGTGTTGACAAAGGTCGTTCTTCCTGTAAGGGTATCGGGGTCAGTCGACGGGACTCGGAGATCGAGTGGACACGGGGTGGCCGCGTAGGGGGGGATTCGAACGTACCAGTGCCTGATGCTCCGCAGACCATCAAACAGAACTGGATTCCCTTCTTCACGTTCTTCTTTCTGCGCATCATCTTCTAAAGCGACGGTGGTTGTCAGCTGCTGGATAATCCTAGGAGTGGCAGATGGACTGAGGCGGTGGTGGCTTCTCGCAGTCGAGGTTGGGGGAGGAATTGTTGATGGGGGCCAGACGCAAAGGGTGCAACTGGATTCAGGGGATGTGGACAAACATACGGCGGTGGTTGAGGTGTAACGGCTAGACTCGCACGCGGTCGGATGAAGGAGTCGTCGACCAGGTCAACGACGGCGAGAAAGAAAGGATGGTGATGTTGGCAATTGGAAGGGGACAGCGAACGTCAGTCGTGTCGTGTCGTGTGGACAGAACGAAACGAAAGGACTGCTGGATCCCAAGTGTCGTTGTAGTGGAATGGACAATGGACACTGGCCTGGGGGGTCAGAACTTAGGACGGGAGGTGCAGGTGCACAGGTGCAGCACTAAAGGGGACGGGAGGGTCTTGACCGACGGGTGTTGGAAAATGCAATTTCACACAAAATGTTGCGGCAGGAGGTCCCAAGGCGATCTCAGCCAATTGACGGCCAACGCTGCTGGCTCCTGCACGCCCAATTCAGGGGGACAGCAAGTCCCCGGCCCACGCTCCTTTCCCCAAAATTTGACGCTAGTCTGCTTGGGGGCTAGCAAAGACAGCGGGGTATCCTCGGGCAATTTTGGGGGAAAGAAGGTGACAGGTCACGAGACTCAGCGTGGTCCGTGCCGAAGCTGGGCGATTGTCAGTGGCAGATGAGTGCACTGTTGGCCAGACTGCCAACGGGCAGACAGTGGGCAGACACACTGAGGTGCTTCTGCCTGTGCTGTGTGCACTTGCCTGGTCGCAGCGCGTTGAAATCACTCTGTTTGCCAGCCCAAACATGTTTCGCGTCGCTGCAGCCATTGGCTGCCGGCTTGGCCGGTGCCACCTGTCAAGCCATGGCAGGTGCTCTAATCACACCGTCCCTTCATCTCAACAACGGTTTAACTTCCTGCGGCGCTGTGGAAGCGATGATACGTACCTCATTTCCATAACGGTTGTCCCAGGCTGACTTCTCTGCTGAGACGCCGACCACGGGATCGTTTGTGAACATCGCCCTGAATAGCAACCAAATCAAGGAACGCATCAAATAGCTCTGCGCAAGTGTTGACCAGGCCGCTGTCCACTGCAGCCAGCACGTCCACCTATCAACAGCCCCTGTTGGCACTCACAGCTTCCTGACTCGGCTGTCCAGCTGACTGCGACCCGCTCAAGCAACGACAAGGCCATCGTTCAAGAGACTCCAGCTCATCGTCAAACAGCTTACAGTGGCCTCTCACGTCGTGGGAAACATCTTTGAAGAATGATATCATAGCGAATAGCTTCGACGAATAGCACAACACTGGCTCGGTCGCCCAGCCTTTACATCTGCATCTGCATTCCCATCCCTTACAACCGCGCCCCTCAGCGTCGTCACACAGGCCACGGCATCACTTTGCTACACCGGCTTAGAGGGCCCATCGTCATCTCCCTTCGCCGACGATGAATACCCGGCCGCCTATCGAGACAGCGCCGTCTACGGTCGTTCTGTCGGTTTCATTCAATAACGATGCGAGCTGCTTCTCTGTCGGCCTTAACACAGGCATCTGCAGTACGTTTGTTTGCTTGCTGCCTCCGGAGGACCCGTCTCTAACATCGCGCAGTCTTTCACACTAAATCATGTCTTCTTAAGGCTTCTAAAGGTTTGCGCCCGTGGCATTCAGACTCATGAGCAAGACTGAGACTTTTTGACAGATTTTAATGGAGGCATTGGCCTCGTTGAGATGATGGGCACCACAAATTATCTCGCACTTGTTGGCGGCGGAAGACAGCCAAAGTTCAGTTCTAGTAAAGTGCGTGCTCCTCCTCGCTCTGGCAAGACTGAGTGCTAAACATGACAGGCCATCATCTGGGACGGGCTCAAATCAAAGGTGGCCATGGAAATCTCCTCGTTAACACCTGTAAGAGGCGTTCGTATTGGCCGCAACCGCATCGTCGTCGCGCTTCAAAACAGCGTTCGCGTATATTCATTTGCGAAACCACCTGATCTCCAGGCCGTGTATGAGACCACAAACAACCCTTTTGGTCTCTGCTGCCTCTCAGAAAAGACTATTGCCTTCCCAGGTAGAACAGTTGGCCAGGTCCAACTCGTGGATATTGGCACTGGCAACGTTAGCATCATCCCCGCGCACTCCTCAGCACTCAGAGCCATCCAACTGAGCCCAGACGGCGAATCGCTGGCTACGGCGAGCGAGCAGGGTACGCTGATCCGAGTCTTCGCGACGAGCAACTGCGCGAAGGTGGCTGAGCTGAGACGAGGCGTGGATCCTGCAACCATCTTTTCTCTTGGATTTAGTCCGGAGGGCACCAAGGTGGCTTGCACGTCAGACAAGTCTACGTTGCATGTGTTCGACGTCCCCCATCCAAAGAGGGGTGTCGTTGTTCCAACGAGTCCATCAGCATCAATGGCTGGATCTGGCATTCTCGCTGGCAGACCAGGCGATGACGGCAAGGGCCGATGGGGGTTTCTGGGCAAGATCCCCTTGATGCCCAGAATGTTTTCAGACGTCTACTCATTCGCATCCGCACCATTCGAAGCCGGCGATGACCCGTTCATGGGCAGCCTCCCCCTCTCAGAGCAGACTCCCCTTGGCACAACACGACCGCAGAAGGGACTCATCGGCTGGATTAACGAGGAAAGTCTGGTGGTCATTGGCGCGGGCCAAGATGCGAGGTGGGAGAAGTTCATTATCGCCAAGGGCGAGGACGGACGTCGTTATCTTACACGGGAAGGCTGGAAGAGATATTTGGGTAGTGGCTAGACACCCCTGATCGCAAGGCGTTTGGGAAATGTTTTGGGAAATGTTGGTTCACGGCCACGGCATGGCGTTTACTGGTTGTCATCATGGTTGTCATCATGGTTGTAGGCATCAAGGGGTATCAGCGATAGCATCGCTTTTTTTGTACTAGCAATTAGGCCATGGGGTATCAGCGAAAGTATCGCTTTATTGACGAGAGTTGACATCATCGTCGAGCCTGCGGTGATCTGCTCCTGCTTCTCCGTTTGTGCCGTGGCTCCTCGTCGCCATCCCTTGGCTTTCTATGGGAGCGTTCCTCGGGTTCATCCCGGTGACGGCGCCGCCGCTCCCGTCTGGGATCTTCGTCCCCGCCGCGGTCCCGATCCCGCCGGTCCTTTGAACGATCCCTATCTCTCCGACTCGTATCGTCTTTCCTGTCGTCTTTCCTAGACTCTCGCTCTCGAGAGTCACCCCGGCGCCTCTCCCGACGAGAGCTCTTCTCTCCGCCCCTCCTGTCCCTATCGTCCGGCGTCTCGTCGCGACGCGACCTCCGAGACCGGTGTCTGTCCTCATCTCGATCCGCATCCCTCATCTCCTCATCGCTGTCGTGCCTTCGCGACCGATGCGACCGATGCGACCTGTGACGATGCCTGTGTTTCCTCTCCGACTTGTCCCCCCTCCTCGCCAACGCCTCCTGGATCTCCTGCTTCTTCTCCTCGATCAAGAACTCCTTCATCGGGTCGTCATCATCATGATCTCGAATCAGAAGCGCGAGCTCCCTCTCCTCAGGAAGCTGCGGCCTCTCCTCCTCCTCTTCGTCCTCGGAGCCCTCGTCCGTCTTGTCGCCGCCGCCGCCGCCCTCCAGCTTCGCGACCGTCTCCCAGTCCACCTTGCCCTCGTCCGGGTCCTCGTCGTCGCGAAACTTGTACCGCGCGTGGTCGACGCTAATCACGCGGCTGCCGATCGTCGCGCCGCCGAGGTTGTCGACTGCCAGGTCGGTGCTGCGCTGGTCCTCGTACTTGAGCCAGCCGAAGCCCTTGGACTTGCCCGTCTCCTTGTCGCGCGCCAGCTTCAGCCAGACGGGCTCGCCGAACTGTGAGAAGATGGTGATCACGTCGCCCTCGGACATTTCGTAGGGGAGACCGCCGAAGTAGATGTACGCCGTGTCGCGGTAGTCGACGTGCCAGGAACCCTCGGGGGAGCTGTTTCCCTGTTAGCTGGCGAACAGGCAGGAGTTGGCGCAGGTGCGGTGGTGAAAACTCACATTCCATGCTCAATCTCCTTCTTATTGAGCTCCTGGATCGCGCGGATCTTGTTCATCTTGGCAGCTGAACCAAGGGCTTACGCTCCCTGCTTGCGAGATGTTGATGTATGCCTGCAAAAGGAAGGCTGGCGCAACGAGCTTCAACTGCAAGGCTGGAGGAAGCGACGTCCAGAGCTCGCTGCAGCTGCAAGCTCCACACGCACAACCACACCACACCGCGGGCCGACAAGGTGGCTCGCGTAGCGGCGTCAGTGCGTCAGTGCGTCATTTCCCCCAACGAGCGCCAAAGACAACCCCTAAATTGGCACTTCGGTAGCGCACTGTGCCGTGCCGTGACAGCACATTTAGGCTTCGGGAAAACAGCCGGTCCGGCGCTGCCAAATTCCCCGACACTTTGATGAAGGGGGCATGAATTGGCTGGTCTGGCCGTTGAAGATACCAGCCCAGCTGCTCGAGGCAGACCTGCAGCCTCTTTAGTGATAATATTGCTGTGATTGCTCGTCCTTCCGACTTTTTCTTTCCCGTTCAAAAGTACTCGTCCGCCTCCGAGAGTCCCGTGATCCCAGGCCAGCTCACCATCCTCCCCTGAGGCGCGATCCCGAACGACGGACGACGCGTTTTGTTTGTCCATTGCATAAAGCTGTCAACTGCCAAACCCACCTCCTCCCCCCGAGGACCACAAAACACCACGACAACACCACCGCTCGCAGCAACAACCGAGGCACCCACCACAACCGCCGCCAATCGCTTCCCCTCATGCGTCCTCGCGGATCAACACAATCATGACGGCAAGTGCAAACAGGGTGTCGACGTACACCTCGGCCTCGGCGGGGTCCGACGGGCGCAATGGCGAGAAGAAGGACCTCTGGAGCTCCATGCTCGACAACGTCGCCAGCGGCAAGCGGTTACCGGAGAAGAACATGATCATGCTTGGCGGCACGCCCGACTCGCAGCGTGAATTCATCGAGTCGCTGTCGCACAGCAGCGAGAAGCGGACCCTGGACCGCCAGAGCTCCAAGACACCGCCTGTCGCAAACAGCTTCGCTCTGGGTTACACTTACTACGACGTCTTGGACGCCGACCAAGAAGGTGCGTTGGAATGAGTTCATCTTTGGCGTTCGTAGCTCTGACCGCTGACTTGTTTGCACAGACATCCTGGCGAGAATCTCCCTCTACATGCTGTCGACGCCGTCAGAAGCTTTCCCGAAACTTATTCAGCCGCTAATCACCCCCGAGACGATACCAAATACCCTAATGGTCATTCTCCTGGACTGGTCTACACCACACATGTGGATGCGGCAATTAAGGGAATGGATCCTGTTTATGCGGAGCATTCTTGAGAACTCGAGCCACGAGTGTCAAGCGGCGATGGAGGAGCTCATGGTCAGTTGGAGGGACAGGGGTAGAGGCGGCGGCTCGACCAACCTCGACGGCACAGGAGCGACGACCAGCGAAGGGGATGTCGCGTTGCCTCTCGGCCCTGGCGAGTGGGAGGAGGGTATTGGACTGCCGTTGTGTGTGGTCTGCCAAAATGTGAGTCTTCGACAAGCACAGGAACGACTCAATGGCTAACAAGTTCCCAGGCGGAAAAGATGGAGCAGTTGGAAAAGACACAAGGTTGGAAGGAGGGAGACTTTGATCAAGTTCTTCAATACCTCCGAACAGCTTTACTAAGACGTACGTTCGCCCTCCAATCTTGTCAGGCGTCAAGCTAACTTCTGTAGACGGCGCATCCCTCATCTACACCACTCCGAACGTCCCCTCTTCGATATCGAGCCTCGTACACTCCAGCCTAGGCATCACCTCTCTCCTAAAACGCCAACCGCTCAAGCACAACGTGATCGACAGGGATAAGATCCTCGTGCCCCCGAACTGGGACTCCTGGGGCAAGATCCGCGTCTTGCGCGACGGCTTCGACGTCGAGACCACAAGCCAAGGCTGGTCGCACGACCTGCAATCCACCTTCCCCTCCCCACCCATGACCACCGAGGGCCTCGAAATCGTCACCAAGGCCAAGGCGGACGGCGACTACAACGGTGAGGTGTGGTCGTCCGCCGTCGCTCCCTACGAGGACTGGATCCGCGATCTCAGCAGCGCAGGCAGTGCCATCTCCTTCGCGGGCCGCGACGCCGACCCCTCGCAGCTGGAAATGTCATCAACGGACACGCAGGAGTTCTTGGGATCCAGTCTGCAGACGCTCGAGCAGTACCGCAGCAGGAGCGCCGAGGACAAGAAGGCGGATGCGAGCAAGTCAAGGACGGGCCAGCAGCGCGCGGACGAGCCGGACCTCGGCGCCACATTGCGCCAGGGCGACGGCAAGGTCAGCCAGCACATCGGACCTGTGCAGTTCAACATGGGAGGCATCCAGGTGGATGCCGACGACATGGTGCAGCGGCTTAAGGTAAGCACTAAGAGGGTCTTGCGGATGATGAGAAGCCCAGACTAACAGGGACGCAGGACCGTCAGGCATACAGCTCTGCACAGGAACCGACCACGCCGCCGGCCGACACCGCGAACGAGAACCCCGACGACATGGACAACGACAAGCTGGAGGCGTTCTTCAGCGGTCTGATGAACCGCAAGCAACCTACGAACGGCTCCTGAAGCTCCTTTTGAGATGACATACACTACCACACCACAAAGCCCCATTTTACGAGGCTACCCTCTTTTTTATTATGGGAAAAGGTTCAGACTTTGACCTACCATTCCCTCTTCTCCCGGGGCGGATTTAGTTTTTGAATGAGACGTGTACCATATTTTGGCGAAGATGTGAGGACAAGCTGGGGATGGCAAGGGAAAAATCTTGCCAAAGGGTGGATGAGGGCCAAAATCAAAGTAAAGGAAAAAGAAGTGATAGATTGGCGGCGGTTGAGTTGCGGTGGACGGCTTTATTTCCATCTAGCATGTCAGCAGTCAGTCAGTCAGTCGCTGTAGAATAGATACCCCGATTATGACTATGGTATACGTTTGGTGTTGTTCATATCAAATACATACCTGGATGAAGTCATGAGAACGAGAGTGTTCGAGCACGATCTAGAAGCGCTCACAAAAAGCCCCGATTAAGTCTTGCTAAGCATGGTTCTTTCGACTGAACGCAATCAGCGCTTCGAGTGGATCAGGTCGACATATCGGCGTCTCGTTGAATGTTTCTTCATTGATTTGATGTACCTGACACATGGCTGCAGCCTCTACTGAATCCTGGGGCAGGGATCCACATCCTTCTACAGGACGTAAACCAGCCTTCCAGATCTTCTATCAAACTAGCAAACCTAGTTCGTCTTTCTTAACTAACAAGAGGTTGTCCAATTCTCAAGTAGGGCAAAGGGGGAAAAGCCAAAGGCTGTGAAGAGACTTAAGAAGAACAAGCCACTGCTTCTATAACCCAATGGATAATACTTTAAGGTATGTATTTAGGGGACAAATACAGATAATTTGTGTTTCGTAGTGCACTGATGCTTTTACGTAAGACAGCAGCGTTACCGAGTAGTACGCACCCACCAGTCCTAGATTCAAGTGATCATCTAATTAACATTCTTCTCTTTTCAAAGTCACACTCTCTTCCTCCACACTTGCAATGCCGAACTCTATTCCAAAAACGACAGCAAAGACCTGAGGTAGAAAGAGTCAGGGGCATTATTCCATGGTCCGAGAACAGCTGGCGAAGGCAAGCCGTGTAGCAATCAAATTTAGTCGCTACAATCCATGGAGTCGTCTCCAAGGCAAAATCAACCAGCCTCTGCGTCTGGGCAATGCCGTAGACATTCCATCTAACACCAATCGCCTCTGACTATGACATTCCAATTGGTAGGATGAAACGCCTGCCCAGCGACGTCGTATCGGAGAATTGTACCGGCCGCATATTTTTGACAGTTCTCGTATATTTTCCAAGCTCCGTTGCCGATACTCACGAATGAGACTAATTCTTTGGTGACGGGGGCCTTGCAGTTGAATCAGTCAGATGTGTTATGTTTACATAGAATGGAAACAATTTTGATAGCGAAGAACGTAGGCGATGCCAATCGCACTGCGAAGAGGAGCAAAAGAATATCTAACGATTTTCAAACAAGAGCATTAGAACATAAACTTACATCGTTACACCACCAAATTGCCGCGAAATCGGAACAGCTGACCCGGCCGCAATTGCCTGGTCCAGGGCCATTCTTTGGTCTGCCGTTCACTCTGTAGAGATACTCGATGCCTTCCCGCACACGGCCCCGATCAGCCGGGCCCCATCTGCCGAAGCACTCGTGAGAGAACTCCCGGACAATGGCCTGACGTTTTTCGTGGCTACTAGAAGCTGCGATGACCTCAGACAAGGTCCCATTGTCTAGTCCGTAATCTTCGCGGAAATTCGGATTGATCTTTGTAACTTCCGCGACGACATTCTCGATCGTGCCGTTGACAGAAACGAATCCTGTGCCAGGTGCTGTTTCTACCTCCCACTCAATCTCGTCGACGCCGTAGCCCGGAATAGAGGATTCCTGGCCTAGGATCTTGAGGGCATCAGCAAAAGGTATTTGGTAAAAGGGGCAGATCAGAACTGACTCGAGTTATCATCAAAGATAGAGCGGTAGCAGTGATAATCTTCATTGTTTTGGCTGGGAATCGGAGAGCTGACTGAAAGAATGCCTGTGGAAGAGTTGATTAAGAAATTGTTCTCGATGGGCGGAGGTTGTTTTATATCATTCTTCTCAACCCGTGTTCGCCTCGTGTAATGAGCGCCACCCTCCATGTTTCTAACATGTCGTTTCCAAGCGCCACTGGAAGATTTCTGTGGTTTGCTGTCGGCCCATGGACACAAGTCCAGCTCAGGTGAATACCTTACCTCTCAAATCGCGCCTGTAGCCCAAGACGGACCACGGTAGATTACGGTGTGCAAAGCGTGCTGCTATTACTTGGTTAGACAGTGACTTCATCACCTTCCTAATTGCGTATCGAAAAACTCTCGCCAACTTCAATAACAATGGGGACATGGTACGAAGGCCCTCACTGTTGTTGGTGCTGGAGCGGTCACTGCAGGTCTCGGCGGGACGAGTCATTCTCAAATCGTATTGAGTACCAACCAACCAACCCCAAGACTTCTCGGAAAGGCAGGTCGCAGTGCAAAAGCTCTCAGAAGCTTCCAAGTTGCTTGCATGCCTCTGTCGTATTCGTGACGTGGAAGCTAGATTTGACAGGGAACCTAATAGTGAATGGTGTCTTTGAACTAGAAGTGGATATTATCTGACCAAGTCTATCTCTTTGGAGGCCAGTCTGTTGTGGCCTAGAACATGGGCCTAGAACATGTATGGATAATTCACCTGTAGTAAGACGAAGTCTGTAGAACCTTTTACGTAACTTGTGTCTTCCTACCAACAAGTCCTGTCTGCTAGCCCGCTGCCCAACAATAGCCATGATGCAGGGATAAATCAACGCCTAGATTTCACAAGCCAAATGACAGAATCTTGGGTTGCGAGGTAATCGGAACATGCCCGAGTTGTGCCGAGACATCGTCCGTATTCAACATTGTCATTCGGTGGAAAGCATCCAGAACTTGACTACAAAAAGAGAACGTCGACCGCTTCTTCCTGCCAGGCGACACATCCTCAAGCTCATCTTCCTTCTTGTTTTTAATTCGATCAGCATTCAGCTACCGTCAAAATTGACGACTGTCAAGAGACTCCAACATGAAGATATTCTGCACGACCTTAATCCTGTCCTTTTTCGGGGCGAAGGTAGATCTCACTAATGCTCGACTCCTTGATCTGACTGACGCATGAGTAGGCGATCGCTCAGATAGCGCCCATCGAAGGCTACGGTGTGGCAGACCTTGAATGGGAAGTTGAAATCTTCCCCGATGGCCGCACTGAGATCTTCAAGGGAACAATCGAGCAGATTGTCGAAAACTTGCAAAAGGTAAACCCTGATTGGAAGCAAGATTTCAACATTTCCGCAGCCCCGGAGGCCGCTGCTGCGTCTGTCAACGAGCTTTTGGGCGATGACGGGGAATGGGCTGTTACCAAGCGGGCCGATTGGTCTGAGTTTAGTGTCTCGTGCTTTGGGCGTTGGCAACCAGCGGATGGATGGCACATTTATGAGGGGATAGAGTACCTTGCCAGACTTTCAGGGAAGCCTACGAACGGGCCGGGGCCAGGAATTGTGGACGAGTGAGCTGCTCCTTCAACTCTGCTATCTGGTGGTGCAACGACGTAAGTGTAACCTTTTTGGTCGGATATTTGGTGCTTGGACTAACAGTCTCATTTGATCAGGCCCCTCAAACTAAGACACTGGCATCGTTCTTTAGTATTGCCTCAGGTGCAGGCGCTATCAATCGGCAGTGCGTTAGAGGAAATCCACTCATCAACCCGAAGGTTGGCGGACAGGCGTTTCACCCAACGAATTGGAATGTGGTCGTGAACGGCGAGTGGTGTTAGTAGGAATATCTCATGATTGGGAGTCACCAAAGGTTGCCAGTGGTCGAGGAACATTCCACGAAGTGTCAAATTTGTGGGAGGTGGTAAAGATTCATCATTGGCGGCCACTTTGAACGACCCTGTCTTGTGCTAAGTTTGCCAAGAGGAAGCCAAGCAACAGAAGCTAGTCTCAATTATGCTCCAGATGTACTGCGGTAATGAACACGTAATTCTGTCAGATATGATGGTTGTTGGAACGCGCCTGGGGAAGCACCAAGAAATGGATCCAGTGCCTATACTCGGCTTTCCAGCCAATGAACTGAACAGCTTTTGATGGGCGCTTCACATGCACTATGAACCCATGCATATGCATGAGCGGGTACATCTATCATCCCTTGATTACCACTTTTGTCTGGATAAAGGGATGCGACAAATGCATTAGGCAATATGCAAGAACAGGTCACAGCAAGTATATACAAGACAGAACCCCCCCGCTCAGTCTGGAACGAAAGCAGAACCCTCCATCAAACCCGGCCGTAAACCAAATCGACAACATTTTTACAATACCATCCGATCTGATCCTTCATACTCCTCTCTCACTCACGGACCGCACATCGGTCATTCTCAGACGCTTTCACTAGATTCATGATTTTTCGCTAGAAGTTCAGCTCAGCGTGAAGCGAAAGCGTTCGTCCGACCGAATTCAGCCTGTCTTTAGTATTACCATGACGAGAAATTCGCATGAGGAAACCGCCAGCGACTTGACCCAAGGTATTTGATGCATCCACCAAGACTATGAGAACGAAGACATAATGCGTCTAAGATCCGTCGGCACCATTGCATCAATCGGAAATTCTCAATTCAAAGGCTACCGTTGATGAAAATCGATCGACCAAGCATGAAACCGCCGAGGAGAGGGAAAAGCGACTTCACCGACAGAGTCAAGAGAATGATAGTTTTATTGGGAACTTGGTAGGTTACCATTGTATATGTCTTTGCTATTTGATCTAATGCGTTTTAGTTGTTCTATCTAGGGGGTGTTTTGTATTTCTTTTGGTAGAGTTTCCGGGAGGACCAACAAAGTATTAATGAAACAATCAAAACTTTGGTACTAATGAAGTGTGGAGAGTATCTGGCATGCGAGCGTTCTTGAGACTCAGGGCATGACGAATAGTAGAGTGTAACATGTTTTATGTTCATGCCTACATAACTAGGCGTATTGGGTCACATATTCTGTTACCGTAAAAGTTCATGAGGTATGCCATTTGGGTACAGGATACTGACGATGGAGCCGATGAGACCGACGAGAAACCACGAGAACTTCAATGATGATAACAACGGTACCACTAATGCAATTCGAACTGTAATCGAGATAATAAGAACGTAATGAGAATGATGATTCAATAGCCTAGGGTTAGTATCCGACCGGTTTGCTAACACTTTCCGCTCGGCTAGCAGAAGTCCTTCAGTGCATCGTTCCACTATGCTTCCAGGTTAGACTTCGCGATCTAATCAGGACCCCGAGATATCCATGAGTCTCTCTTTTTGGCCAGTAATATTCGTACATCGGATCTTCATGCGGAATTCCGCGAACTCCGCGCTGTAATACTTGAGGTGAACCCGCTTTTGATGTGCGGAGTTTGCAGCCCAGCCTAGTATTGCCGCCAGAGTTCCACTTGCGCACGAAGAGCGGATTTTGGGCCTTTCACTTTCAAAGCTCGCCAATTACTCTAAGAGACCAACATGCTTATATCGCAAGCCTCATAAATTCATTGATCGACGTTTTCACTCCATAAGTACTATTTGCCACTCCTTCATCAACGGTGCGTCGCAGTAAAGCAGCTCTCTTCAAGCGACCACAGCCTTTGCGATGGTCAAAGTAGCTATTGCTGGTGGCTCAAGCAGCATCGGCAAAGCCATTTTCGACGCCATTGGGAAACTCGGAGTCGACGATGCCATCATCTTGGGGCGGAAGGCAACCGGCGACTCCAAGATAATGGTTGTCGACTACACGAGCATCGAAAACCTAACGCAGGTTCTCGACACAAACCAGGTTCACACGGTCATCTCGACCGTGTCAATCGCTGATGATGCCAGCGGAATGGCTCAAATGAACCTCATCAAGGCCGCTGTTGCATGCCAGCACACCAAGCGGTTCATACCGAGCGAGTTTGGAGCCAAATATGATGACGAGTTTGTTCTTCCGTGTGCCTTGTTTCCTTCTCATCGATCTAATATTTCTTCATCTAGGTTCATCCGCGACGTCCCGACTTACGCGTGGAAGTTCAAGGCAGTTGACCGTCTGAAGGAGACCGATCTTGAATACACGCAGTTCTCGAACGGAATGTTCATGGACTACTGGCTCGCGCCACGCATCGAGTCCGCATTTCGACTCAATCTTCCATGCTGGATCGACCTTGGCAACCACGTTGCAGCCATCCCCGGTGACGGGAATCACCCCATAGTATTGACTCACTCGCGCGATATCGGGCGCTTCGTCGCAGCAGTGCTGGGTCTGCCTCGCTGGGAGCGCAGGTACTACCTGGCGGGAGACAGGTTGACGGTCAATGACTTCGTCGCCATCGCGGAAGAAACGAGTGGTGTCAAGTTTGAAAAGAAATATGACAAGCTGGATGTCTTGCGAGAGGGTAACTGCATCCCACTTCCGGCGTGGGAGGGAAAGATTCCATCGGCTTACAAGAGTACCGTCATGCAACAGGTCGCGCTTTCTGGGAAGAGAGTTGCGCAAGGTAAGATGGATTTGCCGACAGAGGGCCGGGTTAACAGTCTCTTTCCGGAGATGACAACTCTAACCGTTCGAGAGGCAATGCAAATCTACTGTGGACAATAACGTGATATCTCCTAGTCATAACTAGATGAATGATAGTTCAAAGAGAGAACGCAAAGAACTTTCGAAGAAACCTGTTTTGTCTGGCGCTGTTTGCGAGCAGATAACAATAATAAGTAACTCCTAGATAATTATTCTCGACTTAACAATTATGCAATCATACCATTCTGGGTCGAAACGATAAGTTCTGCAAGGACAGAAAGGGGATGATCCTCTCGCACCAGGTTGCTATGATCTGTGTATCTTGGCATAAGTCCTCCCTCTCGCTTGCTAATCCGATCATAGAGTCTTGACAACAGCGCATATCTCACGGGTTATCCTTATTCCTACGGGGGTTCTGTGGGCAGAGTCTGGCGCCAACCGCCGGTTGTGGCGCCATCATCGGGCCGTGATTCGCGGCGGGCGGGGTGATAGTCCCTCCGACAGCGCCGATGCTGGGGTTGCATCTCTCCGTGACGCTTGCGGGCCGGCGCCTAATTATGCGGGGTTCGTCTGACGAGAGGACCAACACGGGAAATGTATTTTAGCGCCCAGGGGCATTTTCAACCGCCATTCAAATGTTCCCTTACATATTCCTCCGTTTCTCAGCTGCGGCTTTGGCCATGAATTCGCTCGTTTAGTGTGGTCTTTACATCGATCCCAAATTTCTTGCGCAGCGTCCCCATCGGCGGTCCCGTGTGGTTGTCTCTCTGATTCACTATTCCACTGGCCGTTCTCCAAGAATCTGAAATTCGAGTGCCGATGAGCGACATAAACCGCGAGGATGGACGGCCGTCTAGCTATTCTCATGGTTTTTTCAAAGGCGCCCAGGGTCCTTCGGGACCGACCGCGACCCCGAAGCTGAAGCCGGAGGACCTAGCGTGGGATCCGGCGTGGATCCCTGACCGCCCCGGCCGGGGCTTCTATCGCATTCCGGAGAGGAACTTAGCGAGGCATCATGGGGGCTGGGGTGACTCTGAGGAGAAGAGGGTGAAGACCGAAGAGGCTCCTGCTCAAGAACGAACGCCAGAGTACGTTGTCAATGACGAACGGTATGAGGTTGAATGACTAGGCTTGTGTATGAGCTTGGACTGACTGATAAAACTTTCAGAGATTCAAAGGTTTCTGACAACGATGCGGCAAAGCCCTCGATGGACTTTCCACATCCGACCATGTCTATCCCACCGCCTGCTGTCGAATTTGGTTTCCGAGTAGCAGTGCAGCTCGCTAGTGTTAGCGTCCACACTGCTGTCCCAGATAACGCGAAGGAGGTAGAGCTGTTCAGAGTCTCCAGTGGCTCGTGGTCGGGATCTTTTGGATCAGGCTTCGTTGTAGCGGGAGGGTATTACATTGACGACGCGTCAAACGCGAAACCGGGGACAAGCAAGGTCGGCGGCCTTTTGAAACTCTGGACCAAGGATGAGAAGCCCGCAGAGTAAGTTTCGTGATGTGTTACCGTCTGTCTACGGAAAATCTCCGGAGGATAAGGGCTAATGGGCATCTCATGCACATAGGTTCGAGTTGCGAATCAGTGGATCCTTGAGCGGACCAGCAGATGTTTTGACCTCTCTCCAGAAATCTCCCGAGAAAGATGTGGATTCAAGACAGTACTCCTGCCGCATGTCAATTCACGTGACGACGGGGGATGAGAGGTATGCCGAGACGTTGGGCGCCGGGCTTTGGGTTGCGAGTGGAGCATGGAGTAAGGGCGAGTTTATCATTGAGTGAGTTCTACCCTTTAGTTGTTCTCATCAGATACTGACTTTGAGCAGCGCCTATCGCGTCGTCTGAGGTTGTGATGGAAAATGAGTGAAATCACGTTGAGATGGACGAAGATTTGTTTAAGTCCTGTTGCAGTGAGAGCCATCATCAGCCACAAGATTACCCATATTTCATCGCCTCATATGAAGGTATACCCGGAAAAGAAATACAGCTTGCCAGCTAAACTGATGAAACAGCCTCTTGGAGCGAACATATAGTGAGTCTCTTGGATCTTTGTAGTGAAACCCCTGATGAGGCTACCAGTTGAGGCCCTCCAGAACGAATGAGCGCATGCGTGCCTCGACTGAGTCGCGTGCGCGTGCTTGAATGCTTTTGATGATTGGTCTCGCTGTAATAGTCGGCTCCAGCCTCCGGCCCGTCAACGAGCCTGCTGGCCGTCGGCGACCGCATCTGGGGCAGAGTCACATCCAAACGGGAGCCTGGGTAAAGGGTACTCTCATTTGGAGTACCAGGAAGCATGCCTGCGCCCGCAAGATCTAGATAACGTCGATCCTGACAGTTGAGGCGTGGAGCCGAAGGCCTGGCCGCGGCCACGAGTATGCAGGTCATCGCATCCGGCTACAGGCCGGCGGCACAAATCTGTCCCGCGTGGAAGTATGATCCGCCCGGCCGGGACAAGTGAGAGGTGGTGTACAACAGCATGCCATTCACCGGTGTAGAGATCTAAATATTCGGGGTATCTTCGGGCGAGTCGTGATAACTAACAATTATTTGCTGAGATGAGTCAAGGTATCTTTGATATGATCCTTCAATCAAGATCACATATGAGCCCCTTGGAAACCTCTCACTCAAAGTCGTGAATGTGCTTCTGATAGGGCGTTGGGCCATGCAAAGTGCCGTCTAATATGCTTGGCGTGAGGAAACCAGAACCCCCGCGTGGGACGAGAAACACAGCTCACATTTGACCAATTGAGATGATAAAATGCACAGATTTGTACCCGCAAAGCTCAATCTCTCATTTAAGGTGCGCTGCAGCGGCAGGGCACGTGTCAGATGGACCTTCACTTCTCATTGCCCTCCTGGTTGTGGTGGGTGGACAGGCAGTATCGAGGCATGTTTGCAAACTAATACAGCGGATCCCCACGGCGGGGCGGTGTTCGTCTTGGTTCTCTTGGACAAAGTCTTCGCAAAAGCTTGACCTAACCACTGCCGAGAACGGTCTTCAACGGAGGACTTTCCCTGGAATCTTTCCAGGCGCACGAAGTCCAATCAACGGAACCTATGTCATGTTTGCTTTAGTATCATACGCTGACAGCATTGGAAGAGTAAGCCTAGATTGTTCCGTGACTCGAGATCTTATGCCGGAGCTCATGCCGACAAGCGCCCCCAAACTGCTGAAGGGATGAATATGAGATGCGGGTAAGGAGTGCCCGCACAAGCTAAGCTCATTCGACGCGGCGGAGATGTAGATTGGGCATGGCCCGTGCGCCTTGCCGGGGTCCGGTCTCTCCACGCCATCCACACGCATCGCGAATTCTTATCTTTCTCCCTGTCAACCACCGGCGATAACAGCGCGCGATTTGCAACCTCGATTTGAACTCTGATGCAATCAATCAGTAACGGACCCCGATCTGTCCAACCGACTGACTCAATCAGAGGGCGATAGGGACAAAGGCACTCGCAGTCTTATCTGCAGCTTTTCTCTGGCCGCCGGCCGCTGCCATCAACCTCCTGTCCCGTCTCTTCGCCGTTCCATCCTAGGGATTTGGGCCGCCATGGATGTCATGCCGAACGGGTGGACGGGTGACTGTGGACTTGTTCCTAGTGGAACATGTTCATTTTCTCTATCAGATGGATCTCTTCGTCTGCTGAGGCGGGGATGATTCCTTCTGACGAACCCCATGCTGTCAGCACCCGCAGCTTCGCTTCTTGCAAGCCAGTCCATCCTCTCATCCCCAGTGTTCACGTTTTCGTGTTCTTCAAGTTTGTCAGGGAAGTCCCTGTGCCTCTTGCCAGAATCAACAGACTCATGTCCATGTGGCATTCCATCCGCATCACAGAAGCTGCCATCTCGTCACCTGGAGACGTCAGCAATTTGCAGCTGTCAAGGGCCCTCTGCCTCTGTTAGTGCTGTGGGAGACATATCATCATGCCGTATCACAATCCCGTCGACGCAGATACTACCCAAACAAGCATGCCTCTAGCACCCGAGTGGCTGCAGATCCCTCTTGTTTCTCACCTCCTACCGCCAATCAATGGCCCGGCATCTGCAACCAGACTGCACCATTTTCTATGACTGATTGAATTTTGGCCTTATCTCTTCCCTGCATGCTGCGGCGACGCACCTGTCACGTTTTGTCCAACACAGACTTTACCGTCTCAAGTTCTGAGGTAGCTTCGGTGGTTCGGTCTAACCATGATTAGTTTAAAGAGGGAAAAAGGATGATTGTGCTCGACCCTCCACTACCACCACCAACCTCGACCCCCAAGGCTGTCTTACAGCGGGGAGAAACCGAGCCGTTACCTCCTGTGGGGGACGCGGTGCTTGTGTCTCAACTTGCACATGGAAGCAAGCAAGGGTAGCTCCGGTAGTTTAAGCTCCGATAAAGCAACATGATTGAGGTTGCCGCCGGCCAGCTGTCGGCCTGTGTTGGGATGATCTGCTGGAGGGCGCATACATATACGTCGAGGAGCCCAGGCCCAAACCGTCGGTACTCTGTAGCCAAGGGTGCATCTGCTTGCCTGAATTACACCATACCATTCCATCGGCGCATCGTGAACTGCCCAAGATGGTGACAGCAGCTCTTTCGCAGGGCGTCGGGTACGGCATCGTACTCGGCGTGGGCTTTCTCTTCGCCATTGGCATGGTATTCCTCCCCAACATGCCGATGCGGGCCCTGTTCACGTGCTAATCGGGGGCACAGATTGCCACGACCTATGTCCTCAAAAGATACAACAGAGAGCTCCAGACCTCTGAGATGTTCACTACCGCAGGCAGGACGGTCAAGTCTGGTCTCGTCGGTTCCGCGGTCGTCTCGTCGTGGACGTGGGCCGCGACGCTTCTTCAATCCTCCGGTGTCTGCTACCGGTATGGCGTTTCCGGTCCGTTCTGGTATGCTTCCGGCGCGACCGTTCAGATCTTGCTGTTTGCTACGCTCGCGATCGAGTTGAAGCGCAGAGCACCCAACGCCCACACATTCCTCGAGGTCATTAAGGCGAGATACGGTACGGCTACGCACGTCGTCTTCATCGTGTTTGGTCTGATGACGAACGTTCTTGTCACGTTGATGCTGATTGTGGGAGGTGCTGCCACTGTCAATGCCTTGACTGGCATGTAAGTCTTCCTCAGATACTGATTGGAGAGGAAATCTGAGGCTGACTGACCTTCACAGGCACACTGTTGCTGCAATTTACCTCCTGCCCGTCGGTGTCGTGGCCTATACCATTGTCGGAGGTCTCAAAGCAACTTTCCTCACTGACTGGGTCCACACTTTCATCCTCCTGATCATCATCATCATCTTCTCCTTGACAGCTTACGCCAGCTCAGACGTCCTTGGCAGCCCGTCCAAGGTCTACGACCTCCTCGTCGAGGCCGCCCTCAGACACCCCGTCTCAGGCAACGCCGATGGATCTTACCTGACAATGAAGTCCCAGGGTGGCGTCGAGTTCTTCGTCATCAACATCGTGGGCAACTTCGGCACCGTCTTCCTCGACAACGGATACTACAACAAGGCCATCGCCGCCTCCCCCGTCCACGCCCTCCCGGGCTACATCCTCGGCGGCCTCTCCTGGTTCGCCATCCCCTGGCTCACCGCCACGACCATGGGCCTCTCCGCGCTCGCCCTCGAGTCGAACCCCCGATTCCCCACCTTTCCCGACCGCATGACCGAGGCCGAGGTCTCCGCCGGTCTCGCCCTGCCGTACGCCGCCGTCGCGCTCCTCGGCAAGGGCGGCGCCGCCGCGACGCTGCTGATGGTCTTCATGGCCGTCACCTCCGCCAGCTCCGCCGAGCTCATCGCCGTGTCGTCCATCTTCACCTACGACATCTACCGCACCTACTTCAAGCCCGACGCCAGCGGCAAGCGCCTCATCTACATGTCGCACGTGTGCGTCGTCATCTACGCGCTCATCATCAGCTCCGTGTCGGTGGGCCTGCACTACAACGGCATCTCGATGGGCTACCTCTACGTGCTCATGGGCGTGCTCATCTCCGCGGCCGTGCTGCCGGCGACGCTGACGCTGGTGTGGAAGGGCCAGAACAAGTGGGCCGCGACGCTGTCGCCCATCTTCGGCACCGCTTTTGCGATCATCGGATGGCTTGTCACGGCGAAGAAGACGTGCGGCGTGCTGGATGTCACTTGCACGGGCTCGAACAACCCCATGCTGGCTGGTAATGTCATCGCGCTGCTGTCGCCGCTGGTGCTCATCCCGATCTTCACCCTCATCTTCGGCCTGGATAAGTATGACTGGAAGTCGATGATGGCGATCCGCCGGGGCGATGACCACGACGTCGCCACCGACGCGGGCATGGATCTCGAGGAGGATGTCCACGGCGGACGCGTGGAGACGCAGGCTGAGTTCGAGAGGGAGCAAGCCATGCTCACCCGTGCCTTTAAGATTTCCGTCTCCATGACGGCTTTCATGTGAGTTTCTCATTCACCACATCGTATTTTAGGACCACCACTGACAAAATACACAGGACCATTGCGATGCTCGTGCTCTGGCCGATGCCCATGTACGGCTCCGGTTACATCTTCAGCAAGCCCTTCTTCACGGGCTGGGTCGTCGTCGGCATCCTCTGGATCTTCTGCTCCTTCTTCGCCGTCGGCCTGTTCCCCATCTTCGAGGGCCGCGCAACGCTGATCCACACCGTCAAGTCGATGGTTTCGGGCAAGAAGCCGACGCGCCATATCTCCACGCAGGGCGAGGAGGAGGTTAATGAGAAGACCAGCCCTGGAACTGCCACCCCCGAGAAGAAGCACGAGGGCGCGAATGAGGCTATCACTTCGAGCTAAGTGCCTTCATATAGGGATGGAGTCCAAAATAAAGATACTATTAGAGAGAATCTG